ATGTTATTTGCTTCCTTAATTAATCGCTGCGATATAATTAAGTTCCAAATTATGCACTCGCTTCATCTGGATTTGCTAAATAAAGGCTGCCTTATTCTCCTCACCGTTACTCCTTTTTTGGAATTCCTGAATTGCTGCTTCCTTAAATGGGCCTAAGCAGATATAGCAAGGGCTGATTCCAATTTGCGTTGGGATTTGATTCTCAAGGCTGTTTCTGATTTCCCACTATTCAGGCAAGCTACCTTAAATTCTTCTTTGGCCTGAACAAGAATAAAAAGGGCTCACGATTACAGGGAATTACAGGGAAGATGTATTACTATCCAGTAGACTTCTCTCCTTGGATTACTCTCCGGCGTGAGGCTTATATAGAAGAAATAAAGGAATCACAAGGTTGCTTTTCTTTGAAGCCGTCTTTCTTCTTCTTGGTGTGACTCTCGGTTTAGAGAGAGAGAAGGGGAGGAGAGAGAAAGAGTGTTTTATTGTAATCTTCGAGGTGATCGATAAGTGTATTCTTTGAAGCTAATAAAATACTCGGCAGCTCTGTGGACGTAAAAAATTTGACGAACCACGTAAATCTGTGTGTTTCCGCTGTGTTTTTCTATTTTGCGATTTTTCTCAATCCATTTTTTCGCTTTATTGTCGTCGTTTTTCACAACAACTGATATCAAAGATTTGGTTTGAGACTGAAAGAAAGAATGATGGACAAAGATGAAGTAATGGCATCGGGGATCGAGAAGTTCAATAACACAAATTTTGGTTACTGGAGGATGTAGATAGAAGACTACCTCTATGGGAAGAAACTTCACCTGTCGTTGCTGGGACAGAAGTCGGAAAAGATGGACGAGGCGGAATGGAATCTGTTGGATCGACAGGTTCTGGGGGTTGTACGACTTACCCTATCAAAATCCGTTGTCCATAACGTCATAAAAGAGATGACTATTGCAGATCTCATGAAGGTTTTATCAGGTATGTATGAAATGTTATCGGCGAATAACAAGGTACACCTGATGAAAAATGTTATTCAACTTGAAAAAGTTTTGTCTGTTGCTCTGCACCTGAATGATTTCAATACTATCACAAATCAATTGTCGTCTGTTGAAATTGATTTTGATGATGATATATGTGCGCTGATACTGTTGGTTTCATTGTCAAATAGCTGGGAAGTCATGAGAATGACAGTTAGCAGTTCTGCAGGTAAATATAAACTGAAATATGATGATATTCGTGATTTGATTTTGGCTGATGAGGTGCGCAGGAAAGATTCTGGCAAGACCTCGGGTTCGAGTTCGGTACTAATCGTTGATTCCAGAGGAAGATCACAAAAAAAAACTCAAACAAAAAAATATATCAAATCAAAATCTGATCAGCAGACAACATGTTGTAATTGTGGCAATGTTAGCCACATAAAAAGAAACAACATGAATCTTAAGAAAGAGAATAATGACGTTAATGTTGCAACTGAAGAAACGCATGATGTGTTATTGCTGACAGTTCACAGTTTTGTTGATGACTGGATATTGGATTCAGAGGCTTCCTTCCATACATCTTCCCATCAGGAGTTGATGTGAAACTATATTGCAGGTGACTTTGGGAAGGTGCATATGACTGATGGAAAGCTCTGAACGTGGTGAGAATAAGAGACATTGATATTGCACTCTCTAACAAGAGCAAATGAATTTTGCAAAAAGTCAAGCACGTTCCTGAATTAAATAAAAATCTCATTTCTGTTGGGCAATTAAATAAGAGTGGTCATTCAGTAATGTTTTCAGATAGTACCTGGAATATTACTAAAGAAGCATTAATACTGGTTCGGGATAAGAAAACTGACACACTATATATGACTACAAGTTTACTCAGGCGTGGACACATGAGCCAGAGATGCATTATGAGAAAACATAAGAAAATAAGTTTCCTGAAAAATGACAGAACGCCAAAGACAGGAAAACCAGATCTTGTACGAACAAATGGTGGAGAACCACGGAGCTATGAAGAAATCTTGCAAAAAGAAAGTTCGAGCAAGTGGGAGCTGACAGAACTTTCACCAGGGAAGAAACTTCACCTGCTGTTGCTGGGAAAGAAGTCAGAAAAGATGGACGAGGCGAAATGGAATCTGTTGGATCGATAGGTTCTAAGGGTTATACGACTAACCCTGTCAAGATCCGTTGCCCATAACGTCATAAAAGAGATGACTATTGCAGATCTCATGAAGGTTTTATCAGGTATGTATGAAATGTTATCGGCGAATAACAAGGGACACCTGATGAAAAATGTTATTCAACTTGAAAAAGTTTTGTCTGTTGCTCTGCACCTGAATGATTTCAATACTATCACAAATCAATTGTCGTCTGTTGAAATTGATTTTGATGATGATATACGTGCGCTGATACTGTTGGTTTCATTGTCCCATAGCTGGGAAGAGGTAAATATAAACTGAAATATGATGATATTCGTGATTTGATTTTGGCTGATGAGGTGCGCAGAAAAGATTCTGGCAAGACCTCGGGTTCAAGTTCGGTACTGATGGTTGATTCCAGAGGAAGATCACAAAACAGAACTCAAACAAAAAAAATATCAAATCAAAATCTGATCAGCAGACAACCTGTTGTAATTGTGGCAAGGTTAGTCACATAAAAAGAAACAACATGAATCTTAAGAAGGAGAATAATGACGTTAATGTTGCAACTGAAGAAATGCATGATGTGCTATTACTGATAGTTCACAGTTCTGTTGATGACTAGATATTGGATTCAGAGGCTTCCTTCCATACATCTTCCCATCAGGAGTTGATGTGAAACTATATTGCAGGTGACTTTGGGAAGGTGCATATGGCTGATGGAAAGCTCTGAACGTGGTGAGAATAAGAGACATTGATATTGTACTCCCTAACAAGAGCAAATGAACTTTGCAAAAAGTCAAGCACGTTCCTGAATTAAAGAAAAATCTCATTTCTGTTGGGCAGCTCAATAAGAGTGGTCATTCAGTAGTGTTCTCAGATAATACCTGGAATATTACTAAAAAAGCATTAATATTGGTTCGGGATAAGAAAACTGACACACTATATATGACTACAAGTTTACTCAGGCGTGGACACATGAGCTAGAGATGCATTATGGGGAAACATAAGAAAATAAGTTTCTTGAAAAATGACAGAGCGCCAAAGGCAGGAAAACCAGATCTTGTACGAACAAATGGTGGAGAACCACAGAGCTATGAAGAAATCTTGCAAGAAGAAAGTTTGAGCAAGTGAGAGCTGACAGAACTTTCACCAGGGAATAAGGAAATACATAACAAGTGGGTGTACCGGATGAAAATTGCGTTTGATGGCAGTAAACGATATAAGGTTGGACTTGTTGAAAAACGTTTTCAGCTGAGGCAGGATATTGTCCATGTAATGGGAGTTGTAAGCACGTTCATGAGTAACCCAGGAAAGACCTTGGAGATACAAGACTACGTTGACGCTGATATGTCAACTAAGGGTGTTATTATTGAGAAACTGAAGTTGTGTGCAGCTTCAGTTGGTCTTCTGGCATGAAGACTGGAGTTTTGAGTTGTAGAGGTGGAGAATAGTAGAAAATATCATGTTTGAGGAAAAAGAACGACACAATCAGTAGATGATGCAGTTAGTATCTCAGTCTCCAAGTGAGAGAATTGTTATGTTATGTGGAGCTCAGTCCACTACATCCAGACTGGGTGGTATTGTGCATCTTAGGAAATTATCTGTCGAATTAATTTCATGTTATTTGTTTCCTTAATTAATCGTTGCGATATAATTAAGTTCCAAATTATGCACCTGCTTCATCTGGATTCGCTAAGTAAAGGTTGCCTTATTCTCCTCACCGTTGCTCCTTTTTTGAAATTCCTGAATTGCTGCTTTCTTAAATAGGCCGAAGCAAATATAGCAAAGGTGATTCCAATTTGCGTTGGGATTTGATTCTCAGAGCTGTTTCTGATTTCCCTCTATTCAGGCAAGCTACCTTAAATTCTTCTTTGGCCTGAACAAGAATAGAAAGGGCTCACGATTACAGGGAAGATGTATTACTCTCCAACAGGCTGCTCTCCTTGGATTACTCTCCGGCGTGAGGCTTATACAGGAGAAATAAAGGAATTGCAAGGTTGCTTTTCTTTGAAGCCTTAGTGTGAGTCTCGGTTTAGAGAGAGAGAAGGGGAGGAGAGAGAGAGAGAGAGAGAGAGAGGGAAATAGTGTTTTCTTGTAATCGTGGATCATCTTCGAAGCTAACAAAATACTCTGCAGCTTAGGACGAACCACATAAATCTGTTTGTTTTCGTTATGCTTTCTTATTTTACGATTTTTCTTGATCCATTTTTTCACTTTATTGTCATCCTTTTTCACAGCATAATCAACCCTCACAACTGAATATTTTATGCCAAGATGCCGTATAAAACATAAAATGAAAATCATTTAATATCGAGCCATAGCAAAACAAAACGCCCGTAACAAGAATGCGACAAGGAATTCACAGAAAAAATTCGAACAGATACGTAAAAGCAAAATAATTGTATCGAGAATGGAGACGGCCTACTGAAAACCCAAAACTATCATTATATTACTACACCAGGTAAAGGCATTAAAGATTGACCAAATATCCTAACTTTAACCAGTAAAAACCTCACCCCTATGATCATTTTATTAACCATCTAAGCAGCCATTGCCCATCAACCCAGCCCTAGATTCACTATAGAGCCATTTTTACAAGATTTATTTCTAAAAAAAACAGTTCAACAAATTTCAGGACAATTAACGAGAAGAAGTATCTATCTTGATTCAAGTTGTTCTATCAGCATCCAAACAATCAAAGGGGTTGTTTGGCAGGAGGATTTGCGCAGACTATAACCTAAATCCTGCCAAAGAGCAAAAATAGCTAAAAATCCTACAGAATCTGCATTCCCGGATTGAATAAATCTAACTAGAATATGGATTTACGGGATTCAAAGTAGCTGAAGAACGCGAAGGGCTGGTTGGGAAGAAACACAAAGCTTACTTTCTCTTCTTCTCCGTTGAAATCTTCTTCTCCTTCCCACGCCGCTTGTCACGTCAATGTCTTCTTCACCTCGCTGCGGCCGCTACTTCCTCACTCCTACCCGAAGCGAAGGAGAGGGGAGCACGACCGCGACCTCCACAGTCGGAGCGAAGGAGAGGCGGCTGGCTTCGGTGGGTTTGGTTGGACGAAGGAGAGCGGAGGCAGTAGAGAACGAGAGGCGAGGGTTATTGGGATTATTTTTATGTTTTCGTTAAATATTGATAATTTCAAAGTCATTAAATAATGGATTCTAAAAGAAAAATGCTGATTTAATCATTAGTTAATTTTAATATTTAATAGCAATCTATTAAAATTAACTTAAATAAATTAATTATGTTAATAACAATTATAATTAATGGAAATTTTGATTAAATTTGATCATCTTAAATTAATATTTTTATCAATCATTAAATTATTACTTTATATGATATAATTTTATTAGTAATAATTATTACTAAAATTTCATGTGAGCCAACCAATTTAAATCCAGAATTAAGTAGCCAAATAACTTATAAAACACTAGTTGGATTTAACAGCTATCCTACCAAATAATTTTGAGCATTTAGACATCTCAGTATTTATCATAGCTAAATTTACAAGATTTATTAATTTTTTTAGTTGTGTTAAACAATACACATAACCAAATGACTCGACCTTAAGAGATATTTGGCTGCAAATAGAATTCAACATTAGCCGAATTACCGTAGAAAAATTTAATAAATTCATAAATCATAAACTAATTAAAATGACACTACTCATAGATTTAGTAAATTCAGATTTAAGCTGGATCTAAGGTAAACTTAGGACCGTGAATCCTTCATAAATCTAAAGAACTCTATTTTTGACTTTGGCATGATTTAATAAGTCCGTTTCTCAGAAAACAGGCGAGCCATTTCCTGCAACATTAGAATCATCCACATTTGCCATTTAACATTAGACAGACTAAACAGTAGGAGCAGAACTTTTTTAGATTTTTGTATGAGCACATTGAGACTTAGAAACAGTTACACTAAGAATTACAATAAGAACTTCGGCCTTCCCCCTCTTAATATGTGCACAAAGCCGTGAATCTACACTCTAAAAAAACCACCAGTTAAAAGCAGCTGGTAAGAAAAAGGAGAAATAAACAAGGATTTTTCTGTAACTATAAACAGATGAGAAGGGCTCTAAAATTCTCCCTCAGAACACCTCAGCGATCAGCAATACAATGAGAAAATAACACCCAGGAGTTCCATTTCAAGGGTTGCTAAATCTCCCAAACAGAAACAATGGAGTGTTGGCTGAAGGTTTCTCAGGCAAAATAGGCTCTTTTTCTAAAATGCATTTAGCTGATCCCTCCCTCTCCGCTGCAGGAAAAGCAAGAGATAGAGAGAGAGATGCGGATAAATCATCTCCATCATAACCTGAAGAACCAGGTTGGATATGCTGCTTGCCTCCAACTGATGTGAATGGCAATGGTGATGCCATGGGCTTAGCCAATTTACTCTTTCCTCCAAGGGCCAGTTCTAGATCAGGAGAGCAAGATTCTGGGATTGCTTCATCATCTGAAGATGGAATATGTATGATGTTGGCGGATTTGTTGTTCTGAACGGGACATAAATCCGTTGGGAAGAAGCATCTCTCTGTAGTTCTGGAGCTCTCAAACAGCACAGGTTCACGGTAGATCTGTTCTTCCATCTGCGGGCTCAAAATGCATGAATATAAGGGGTGTATTTTGGAGGAGAGCCTATTGCTAGCATTAGTTTCAGTGACACTATCAGTGGCATAGCAGTTCTTCTTTGGCTCCCTTTCATCCTCACTCGACAACAGTGATGGCCCGCGTTTCTTGTTATTAAGGCGCTCTACGTCTAACGCATTTTGTGTTGGATCATCAACATCCATAATAGCTACACTAGATGTTGAACAAACTTTGTCTCTCAAATTTCTTTCAATTCTGCCGAATTCATCGCCTGTTACTTTAAATGGAAACAAATGAGTAGAATCATCACAAGAAATGAAGATATTGCACTCTCTAATGATTAAATGAGATAAAATTTCACCTTTATTGCAATTTAAAGAATTAAGGGGTACAGATGAAGCTCTTCTAAGGTTAGATTCTTCTCCAGTATTATACGCAAATGTAGACAAGTCAACAGTATTTCTGTTGGTGCAGTCACTAACAAGCTTTTTCTGCAAGGACAACGGTGCAGGTCAGGTTGTATATAGATGAACCACATTAAAATGTGCAAAATGGTGAATCGTTACACTGTAATTGTGCGGAGTTTGGAACAAGCGTGCTTTTGACAGATTAGAGGTATCATTATCTAGAAAGTGAGTATTATGAAACATGATTTACAGTGGTTACTATCAGCTTGACATAATGTAGTGGATTGATTAAGCTTAGAACATGAAATGAGTAAGAGCCCAAAATAGTCTTCCAACTATTAAAAAGTGCCAAATTTAGCCAGAATTTTAGAATGCTCTAAATTGGACCTAAATCATATTTTTCGTTTAGTTAACAGTGGCATGCATGAATTAAAGGGTATTTTCGTCTTTTATGTAATTATTCAAACTCCATGTGGTTTGTATATAAATTTCATTTTTATATGTTTTGAAAATTATAAATTTTAATTTGCATTAATAAATTTCTTCACAGCAGTCATTATTTTTTTTTTCAAATAAATTTTTTTACTGATGAAAGTCTTGTAAAATAACTATTTTTTTCAAATGTAATTTACAAATGATTCCTATTTTCAAAATATTTGTGGTTCCAATCCTTCATTGTTATTTATATATACTAGGAATTATAGATTGGAACCACCAGATAATACAACTATGACTCTAAAAACTGATAAATATAGATGAAAAGTCTTTCTTATCATTATTTATATAGATATAGGATAGTATTAAAAAAAATGAAGTAAATCAAGATAAGTTCCGAAAATCTAATCGCCTCAATAAAAATAAAAATAATAGAGGGTTGCCAAAAAGGCTAGTCCCTGCCTAATTAAATAAATAAAAATAAACACAATCATGGGTAGCTTGATCAAATCAATTTAGTCCCCCGACTATTAAAAAGTGTCTAATTTAGTTCTAGAGTTTTAGAATGCTCCAAATAGGTCCTAAATCATAATTTTCAATTAAAGTTAACAGAGACCTGTATGAATTGAAGGGTATTTTCATCTTTTAGATAATTATTCAAAATTTACGTGGTCTTCGTATAAATCAATTTATTATTTGTTTGGAGAAATTATAATTTTTAATTTGCATTAATAAACTTCTTCACAACATTGATCACTTTTTTTCAAATAAAATTTTCTACAAATGAAAAGTCTTGTAAAATAACTATTTACAAATAATTGCTTTTTCAAAATATTTGTGGTTCCAATTCATGATTACTATTTATATATAATAGAAATCATGGATTGGAACCATCAGATAAAACAGCTCTGACTCTAAAAACTGATTAATACAGATGAAAAGTCTTTCTTATCACTATTTATATAGAAATATGAATGTAGTAAAAAAATGAAATAAAACAACATAAGTTTTGAAAATCTAATCTCCTAAACAAAAATAAGAGGGTTGGCAAAAAGGCTAATCCCTACCTAATTAAATAAATAAAAATAAAAAAATTATGGGTAGCTTGATGAAATCAATTTAGTCCACCAACTATTAAGAGCATACAATTTAGTCTCAGAGTTTTAAAATGCTCCAATTTAGTCCAAGACAATTAAAAGTTGCTCCAAATAATCCTAAATCATAATTTCCGTTAAAGTTAACAGTGACCTGCATGAATTAAAGGGTATTTTCGTTTTTATATAATTATTCAAAATTTACGTAATTAGTATGTAAATCTCTTTCTTATTTGTTTTGAAAAATTATAACTTTTAATTTGCATTAATAAATGTTTTTACAACGATCATCACTTTTTTTTAAAAAAAATATTTTACAGGTGAAAACTCTTGTAAAATAACTATTTTGTCAAATGAAATTTACAAAGTATTGTTTTTTTCATAATATTTGTGGTTCCAATCCATGATTACTATTTATAAAACAATCATGGATTGAAAACACCAGATAATGCAGCTCTGGCTCTAAAAACTGTTAAATAGGATAAAAAGTTTTTCTTATCACTATGTATATAGAAATAGGATTGTATTAAGAAAATGAATTAAATCAAGGTAAGTTAAGAAAATCTAATCACCTAAATAAAAATAATAGAGGGTTGACGAAAAGGCTAATCCTTACCTAATTAAATAAATAAAAATAAACACAATTATGGGTAGCTTGGTCAAATCAACTGGACTCAATATTGCCATAAATCTGCACTTGATGATTAGGATTGGGTCCCATTCTGCATTATTTACCCAATGAAACTTTTTGGATCATTAATTAGCAAGATTATTAAGTAGATTTTTCACATGATAGATCCAATCCATACATATTATGCTCCGCTAATATGCAATTATGACAAGTGCTTAGTCCTACAATCCCTTACAAAGTAGATGTCTCACCGTTCAAAAAGGTACAGAATACCTAACACAAATACACACACATCCAATGCCAAAACCAGGCCCCTTATGCATGATCCATCAGTTCGATAAGCATATAGTTTATTTATAATCTAATATTCAATGATGTTTTTCAAGATCAAGTATCAGAACCCCCCAAGAAAGCATAATAAGATTGAAGCTAGCTATAAAAAATTGTGTTTTAAGTAGCTAAAGAACTTTAAACGGTAAAAGAAACTCTTAACCTACGCCAAAAATAAAAAAATTCCAGATGTTTCATCACTTGATGAGAAAAATTTACTTCATGAAATAATTTTTTTACCGGAAAAGTTCGATCTTTTCTCTCTTCAGAAAAAGAGTTTGAAGCAGACATTAGACGCATAGACTTGGGAGAATCAGTAACTGTCAGTAGATCAGCTGTCATCCCGGATGACTTCTCAACGGGAAATGAATGCTTTCCTAGTGGTTGTAGTGGTACATTAGGATCAGCAACCACTTGACTTAAAGAATTTTGAACAGAAGCTTCCAGTCTCCTGCATGCCTTATCGGAAATGCCAGAGGATATGGGCAGCACATCCAGAGAGTCTGCTGGCGTCCCTGGTGTTATCGTAGATGGTCTGAATTCAGATAAGTTGTTCAAGTATATACTAGTCTCTGAGTTCTGGGCATTACAAACAAGGTTGATGGGAGGAATTGACAAATCTTGATTTGGGAGCTCCAAATCCAAATTTGGCATAGAGGATTTCTTCTGGCCACACATCAGAGGCAACCCGTATCCGCTTCTAGCTCTGAACATGCCCCAGAGATAATACATCATGTTCCAACCTGCCAAAAGAACAGTACTTCAATGATCTTCCTTATGCAAACTTAAAATCACAATAATTATATACACAGAACCAATAATGCATGTCCAAATATGTGAATTTCTTACGCTGGGATTTCATTGGCAACTTATTTGATGTGAATATAAGTATTTCAAATCCATCCATGCTTCCTCTAAGGGCTAAATCATTTTTGTGCAACCTATCCATTAGCCTTCTGTAGCTTCTGTCATAACTGTGCCAATCACAATAGGAAACATCAGCTGCTAATAATCATGTAAAAAACAAAATAACATGAATGAAACATCCTTCCTACACAAACCTCTCCTCATCTTTAGCAAAGAAAAATAGAGCAATATTCTCTTCTTGTGGACCAATTCTTTGAAAATGTGATGGCCATAAGCTAATGTGAGATACTTCCTCTAAGTGGACACTGCCAGGGATCTTGATTGCTGCTTCAAATACTCTACGTGAAGCACAACTTGATAAATGAGCTTGAATTCCATCAAAATTTTCAGGGCAATTTCCGATTCCCAGAACATTGAAGTTACCTCTACAAAGTTGAGAAAAAAAAAAGAAACAGAATTATACATGAGAACAAACAAGATAATACTTTAAAGAGGAAATTACCTAAAGAACACCCGAAACTTACTATTTATAAATTAACCACCCTCTTTACATCCATTTTTCAAATTCTCACTCAAATATCAAAATCCATAGTAAAACCTCAACCCATAGTTTTCTTTCTATCAAATTCTCATTAGTTTAATCATGGTAAGCGTAAATACATCGATTCGTTTGTTCGAAATAAATCATCTGGTGGTTAATTTGTAAATATCAATGTTTCGGGTGGTTTGTATGCAATTATCCCTACTTTAAAATACAAAGTTGGCAGAAAAAACATGTCGTACTGCCATATGCATTCAAGCTTGGGAATTGCTGAGGCTCTTATAGTGTTTGCTAAAAATGGAGCCAGGTCTTGTAATGATTCCACAAAAGGCTTTGCACTCAATTTGTCAATAGGAAGACAATGACTTTGGTCATCAACTTTGGAAACATGAGAAACCTCAACTGGAAGTACAGCAGACTGCCCTGAATTTGCAGAAGCTAAGTTTTTGGTAGAATCAATATTTAAATCCTTTGAGGTGGTTAAAACGCTATTTCTCTGGATAATAGCATTTGGAGCATTTTTTGAAACTGCTACACAATTCAAATCTGTTTTGGCTGCGGGAAGCTCCTCACATGCATCAGCTTTGTTACCCTTTAGCACTCTACTTCTCGATATGGCTGCCTCCACTACTTCTCTCCATTTATTATTCTTCTTCACTACCTCATTTGAATTCCCGTCAGCTGCAAGGTTATTAGTAGATTTTTGAAGCTTGTTATTGGAACAGTGCTGGATCACATGTCCAGTTTCATTGCATTTTTGACAGCGTAACTTCTGGCTACCACCAAAGGATGAAAGCCTTGAACCAGTAGAACAAGGAGAATTCCTCAAGCTCTCATCCTTGCGTCCAGACTCTGAAGATTGAACAGCACTATGTGGTGATACGAGTTCCACCTTTCTGTTTGATCCATCTATAGCACTGGTACTGGACAGAATGCCTTTATTTAGGGGTAGGGGTTTTTTAAGATTTTCAAATTTGGAATTTCCATCAGAATTCTTGGATGAATAAAGTGCCTGTTTCTTCCCTTCACTGGAACCTAGTAGACCAAGGAAAATAATGAGCTGCATAAAATAAAGCAACATGAATAAAGTATTAGGAGAAGGTGACCACTAAACTTTTACCTAAGTCATTTGCATCGTTAAATCCTTTACTCGAACAAGGAACATCTGTTTCAGGGATGTTTTTTATTTTCCCATCGCCATGTACATGCTTAGCATCCACCTTAATAGGATGGTGGCTGGTAATTACTGCTGATGGCCTGAAAATGGAGTTTTGCTTTGCAGAAATATTATTCCTTCCATCAAAACTTCTTTCTTTTGATTCTTTTGGTCCTCTTAAGCCTTCAATATGAGAAGGCTTAAATGATGAACTTTTACTCACTGACTCGGTATGGGGGCGCCCTGAGGTTGTGTTGCTAAAAGAAGTGTTTCTAGTCAATGACTTAACCGAAACCTCTTTCCTTAAGTCAATGTTTGCGGATTCCCTTGTGATTTTTTGCTTATGAGGAGGCTTTTCAATTAATGTTTTGACTTTAGGCACATTGTTTGAGTAACTAAAAGAAACTGACCTTGATAAAAGCCCTGATTAAATACATAAAAAACAGCATTACAGAAAACCAGTTAAGGGACAGGGCAGTATTTCAGTAACAACCCTAAACGAATAAAAGGAATGAATTTGAATGCTGACCTACCGTGAGGGGAATGAGGATGTGGTTGACCCTTGAATGAACTTGAGCTTAAAGACACTTTGGATCTTGAAAAAGCCTCAGAAGATTTTGTAGAATGAACTTCCGTTAATGCTGGTATGATAGCTGTATTCACTTTTTCCATTACCTGGTTCTTTAGTGAAATTTGACGAGATAAGGTCGGCTTTTTCCTTGGGCTGGCTGTTTCCATTGAAGTCCCATTCCGTTCAGAAGATTTTACTTCCTCAGGATGGTCAGCTTGCCTCGGAGTTAAATTATGCGAGCTTTGAAGTCCCTTAGAAGGCCTTTTAGTAACCAAATCAGTTGGCCCAATATTCAATTTGGGTAACTTCTTAGGGAAGGGAGTGCTCAAAGCTTTTTTATTGCCTTCATTTAAGTAATTTAAGTTTAAACTTTCAGAAACTTCCTCGTATTCATCAGCATTCTGATTCTTCGACTCTTTCATTTTACATTCTTCACATAGCCAGTCACCCTCTGGAACTTTTAGTAGCATTTGGCTCATACAGTATCTATGCAGAGATGAACAATAATTAGAGAATATAAGGGAGCAACGAGAAACTATCAGGCAATTCGAAGTTTCATAAACTTACGTATGCTCTGCACCATCACTACAACTGCTGCATATAGCAAGAAGATCTTCCCTTCCAGCATCCCCACAGATGTCACATACTTTTACCTGCAGCCAATAATTTCAACGACACAAAAATATCACAATATTACAATTAGTCTGAAATTTACATCAAATAGTGCAGTGCATCATATATATAGAAGAATGGATCAAACGGAGAAGAGTGTTAGTGAGACAACAAGAATGGGAAGATATAATTTTGTAAAAATTATGAAAATTCACAAAAAAAATTTGAATAAAAAATTGATGTTCTAAGCCATTGAGATCAATTGGCTGGAAGACATGACCAATTATTTTGAGTCTAGAATAACTTTTTAAAGGTTTAATCCTTATGAAAATATTTTCAAACTTATTAATCTTCTTTCAATGAGCCAGCCCATTAATTAGAAAAAGACCAACGATAATGATTAAGCTTCATCAAAGATTAATATTCACTAGTTACAGACTCTAAAAATACTAGAAAAATATCAGAAAATCTTTAAAACAATTACAAATATGAATTTATTTTAATAAATTCGTGGCTGCCCAAATACTTGGAAAACCAACACCATCAGTCCATGTCGGTAGCCATGCTGGCATGCATGGTCATCTTGCCAATTACAAGTCACAAGTTAAACAAAAGATTTCAGAAATCTTCCATTAACGTTGTGATTTCACTGAGAAGGTCTATTGTTAAACACAGATTCAAAGAATAAGTCTTCCCTTCATCTAAAAACTTCACCTCCCTCCACTGAACTTAAAATTATTCATACGTAACTTGAAGTAAATAAATTATTCATATGATTTAAATTTTAAAGGCAATACCTTCAAATATAAGATCGAGATCATTGATATCTTTATTGCAAAGAATAATTGTATTAGTGAAAAAATATGATTAACATTATGAGTGTGAACATAGATGAAAGTAATAAAGAAATGCATTATTTTGTAATTATTTTTTAGAACATTATTACTTACAGCGATAAGGAACAAGAAAGTGTTTAGGGTTATTTTTTAAATACAAAGTTGAAACAAAACACAAAAAAATCAACATGTTGGTCATCAACTCATAACCTTCGCAAATATCAGGCACCGTTAATTTTCATTCCTAATGATACTTCTGTAGTCATAAAAATTAGGATGTCCCCAGAGAAACAGTGAGATAACATAAAATTTTAGCAATGATCAAGTTCATGGTATAAAAACAAAATTTAACAAGAAATAAAGTCGGAAGAATGTAGTAAAAAAATATCTGCCTAAACAGTCAAGAAAGTAGAGGTGCTGCAATATAACAAATAGAATAGAGACAACAAGCACTGAAATTTTGATAATAGAGTTGACAAGAAATTGAAAGGGTGTTTTTACATATTAAGGTGGGGGGGGGAGGCGAGGAAGAGTTTGTGTAGAAGAGGAGTGTGAGGTTGGTGGGGGAGGCGAGGGAGGTGAAAGTGGAGCGAGCGATTAGGGTGCGGGGGCGTTGAGGGATTGAGGGTGCTTGGGAGTGGGAGCCAAGGAGGAAACAAGAAATTGAAAGGGTGTTTTTACATATTAAGGTCCTCAAACCATACAATTTACAGATAAAAGCTTTGAAACTTTTAATTTACTCGTGAAGGACTCCTTAAAGAAAGGCGCGCATTTCACAACACATCCTGCAACCCTCGGCGTGCCCCACTCCCTCTTCTTCTCGTTAGATAACTGGATAGGAGAGTTGGTGAGGCATGGTTCGAGGAGGTAGCTGCGGAGGCAGTGGAGGGAGGAGAGGGGGTTTGTGTGGGGAGGTGGTGATGAGGTGGCCCACAAAGGTATAGGAGGAGGAATGGGGAGCCAGAAGAATTAGGAGGTGGGGGCCGGGGG